AGTTTAAGGTTACAATACCTCTCAGACAAGTTTCAAAAAATGTATTATTATTATTATTATTATTATTATTATGCAGGATTTTATAGCACCTATAGTTTGGGCACAATTTACAATAAAAAAAAGGGAGACAGTATAGTTAGCATACAGTTTAAGACAATAGGGTAAGGAGGGTCCTGCTCATGAAAGCATACAACCTAAAAAGGAGGGGCAAGTGTGGGGTTGAGTTCATGGAGAAAGTAAAAATTCAGTTGTTAGGTAGAAGCAGGATAGACATTCCTGAAATGATTGCCTAAAGGTAAACATAATTTTTAGTTGCTATGTAGATGTGGGATAGGCTTCCATGAAGAGATAGCCTAAAGTTTTCAGGAATCGCCTAAAGGTGGACAGCGTAGGAGATAGATGGGTAGATTGTAGTAGGGAGTTCCAGAGGATGGGAGATGATTTGGAGAAGTTCTGTTGGTAAACATTGGAGTAGGTGACAAGTGAGCCAGAGAACAGGAGGTCTTGAGAGGAGTGAAGAGGATGGTTTGGGTGATATTTTGAGATGAGGCTGGTGATGTAGCTCGGGCAGATTTGTGGATGGCTTTGTATGTAATTGTTAGTATTTTGACTTGTATTCGTTGGGTGAGCAGAAACTAGTAGAGGGATTGACAGAGAGGTGTGGTAGACACTGAGCGGTTGTAAGGTAAATGAATCTGGTGGCAGCACTCATACTGAAGGGGGAATAGCCTATTTAAAGGTAGGTCAATGAGGCGTTGCAATTTTCAATGGGAGAGATAACTCATATGTCAGTAAGCAAACTAGTGATCTACAAGGAAACTGAAGGGGTGAACTGAGGAGTAGAGAGATAGATATGGGTGTTGTATGCATAAAGATTGTATTGGAAGTTATGGAAGTTATGAACTGAGCAAAGGAGGAAGAGTAGATAGCAAATATAAGGGGTCAGGGTACAGAGCCTTGAGACCTTGAGAAAGTGTGGGAGGAGAGGAGGAGTTGTAGATGACACTGATGGAGCACTTAGATAGGTAGAATAAGAAAAGATCAGATTCTTGGAGCCCAGGGGAGTGTGTTTTTTGAGAACTGTATCAAAGGCAGCAGAAAGGTCTAGGACTATAAATATAGAATAGCAGCCTTTGGTTTTAGCAGTTAGCAAGTCGTAAGTGAGTTTTAGGAGTGCAGTTTCTGTGGAGTGCAGTGCGCGAACGTCAGACTGTAAAGGGTCAGGAAGGTTGTTATCAGTGCGATAGCAGCTCAGATAGTTGTAGACTAGGTGTTCTAGAAGTGTGGAGAAAAACAGGAGCAAGGACATAGTTCAGACTGGTGGGGTCGAGCAAGGGCTTTAATAAGTGTATGTTTTAGAGGGGAGAGGAAGATACCAGTAGAGTGACAAAGAGATTTAAGATGTGAGTTAGAGAGCGTAGAACAGAGCATGAGAATGACCGGAGTACTTGTGAGGGAACAGAGTGGTTATGTGGGCTTCTCATGCTAAGCCATTTTGCATTGAATGTTACCCAAGCCATTAATAAATATGTACTAACTAGAGTCTGATTCTACTGTTAATTACATACATGCTTCATGAGCATCTTTAGTTACTATATTACCCCTGCGTTCCTGCAATTTGCACCATTGCCTTTGCTACCTTCCCTTACTGACAGCACTAGTTTTAGGGTGCCCGGAAAGACAGGGTCATACCGAATGAATAGTAACTGTGAAAGAATGGGGACTGGAAAAAAATGTTATGAGCTTTTGGGGGGCTCAAGGGCTGCAAACATCTGAGCTTTTGTTACATTTGTAGTGTGACTCAGTCCTGCTTCCAGCATCTGCAGGCTGTAATTCACTCTTATTTAATTTATGGCTGGACACAGGTGTGCTGAATCACCGCTACTCCTCATATCTTTCTCTGTAATATAAACTAAATGAAAGAGCCAACAAGGTGGACGAGACTACCTTATAATTGAAACATGTGATAGAAAGACCTGGAAAGGTCAACAGATCTCATTGTTGGATTTCTTGATGCATTAAGGATAACATTGTTATTTTATACTCTAACTTTGTAATAATATATTGATCTAAAGAGGTGACAAATCTGGTAAAAGTCATAACTACTGTCACAGTAATGCATATGACTGCTACAGGGCCCCTCAGAACAAGGATTCTGAAAGAAAAGGTATTCTTTAAAGCAAGGGGTTGACAACCAGTCAAACACTGTTTACCCATTGATTGCAGTCATCTGACATGTACTGTACATTGCGCCCCTGCCGTGCTGCCAGCTCCTGACTTTACTCACTGTCTCTCAGATCAAAGCAATAGTACTATGGCCAGACCTTGGGATTAACAAAGCCAGCACCATTCAGCGAGCAGCGTGTGGCAAGGCCCTGCCCAGCTAATGCTGCCAAATCATTAGACTGCATTCTGCGTTCATGCTACTGACTTCTGAACTCAGCATTAGTTACTCCTGACCCCTGCACTCTGCCTTACATACTACTAACTTCTGAACTCTGCATTAGTTACTCCTGACCCCTGCACTATGCGTTACATTCTACTGACTTCTGAACTCTGCAGTAGTTACTCCTGACCCCTGCACTCTGCGTTCATACTACTGACTTCTGAACTCTGCATTAGTTACTCCTGACCCCTGCACTCTGTGTTCATACTTCTGATTTTTTAACTCTGCACTACTTACTATTGATCTCTGAACTCTGCTTTAGATACTACTGACCTCTAAACATTGCATTATTTACTCCTGGCCAGTGCACTCTGTGATACTGCATACTGACTTTTGAACTCTGCTATACTTATTCCTGACACCTGCATTACTTACAACTGACCTCTGAACACTGCGTTACTTAATACTATCCCCTCAACTCTGCGATACTTACTACTGACCCAGCAAACTCTTCAAACCTTCCATACTTTTAAATGGAGCCTTGCCAGGTTATCTCTTTAGTGTGCTGCACCCTGGTGATCTATTCAGTGTTATACAGGTAGATCTTCACTTCTCCATGGTTGCTTACCTCTGCTTTAAAGAGCCCTGTGTTGACCTTCATAAAGATTTAACCTGGCACTGTATACTTTAGGAGCATTTTAAGCAGAACTCCAAGAATTGTAGATCACTGTTGGTATTTGTTTTTTATTTAACCCCCTATACTTACTTTTTTTCTAGAAGTGTTCTTACCAGCCCGTGATGTCATCCCTGGCTTCTTCTCCTTCTTCCGTTGTGGGCGGGCATTCTTTCAGGACTGATGTGTGAGCATGGCTCAGTCCTGGAGTACTGTGAGCCCAGCCTGTGGGATGAGGCACACCCTAGGGGGGGGGGATGTAAACAACAGGCTGGGTTCACAGGAATTGGGCAAAATGACACAGAAGAGGGAATACTAAAATACATAAACAGACAGAATCTGGAGCAGTTGCCTATAGTAACCAATTAGCTTCTCTCTTCAGTTTGTTCAGTTAAGCTTTGAAACTTAAATTGAGAAGCTGATTGTTTGCCATGGACAACTACTCCAGTTTTTATGAATTCCCCCAGTCGTGTTCTTCCTGAACAGAACTGTCAGCAAAGGAATGATGAGCAAGTGAAAGACAGCCCTGGAGAGTGTTTATAAAAATTAGGAATTTGTTAACATGTGGGTTGGAAAACAGTAAAAAATAGAAAATATTTTTCCACTTTAACTGTCACTTAAAAAATATTCCTAATCTAATGTATGTCATCTTAGCATCCCAATTCTAATTAGTCTTTATGTTACATATGGGTTTAATAAAACTAGTACTTAACCAGATGTGCACTGGCTGTGAAAGCAACATGCTTCTAAATGCCCAACTACTCATCAAGTGCTGCTCTGAGAATTCTGAGCCTACAGTATTAGCACCAGTTAGAATGAATGAACTCTGCACTGCATTCAGTGCCTTTAAAGGGCCACTTACCTTAAACTGATGAAAAAAAAATACTATCTGAAAACCTCATCGGATGAGATTCCCTTGCTCATCCATCATTGTGCCCATGATACAGAAGGATGATTGATTCTAAAACAAGCTAAATATTAAAGCTTTGTGCATCTTAAAATACTTGACTGTAGAACAGTGTTGTATTGTGTTAGCCATCAATCAGTTTACAAAGTTTGGGGTTTAAGTTCAGTTATTAAAGTCTATGAAAGATGCAGACTTTCACCCTGAAATCTTGAATAACTTAAGTTAGCCAATAAAGGGTATTACTAACACTCCAAACATAATACTTGACTAAAATACAATTCCATTGTTTCTTTATAGTGTTATCACTTATAAAGAGGAAGTGATTGCTATAGAAATAGTAGTAGTGTCATTATTATTACTATTATGAATATTATGATTGTTGTTAATATTATTATTAGTGGTAGTATCATTATTATTACTATTAATAATATTATGATTGTTGTTAATATTATTATTAGTGGTAGTATCATTATTATTACTATTATGAATATTATGATTGTTGTTAATATTATTATTAGTGGTAGTATCATTATTATTACTATTAATAATATTATGATTGTTGTTAATATTATTATTAGCGGTAGTATCATTATTATTACTATTATGAATATTAAGGTTGTTGTTAATATTATTAGTAGTAGTAGTATCATTATTATTACTATTATCAATGTTATTATGATTGTTGTTCATATTATTAGTAGTAGTAGTGTCATTATTATTACTATTATCAATATTAGTAGTAGCAGTATCATCATTATTATTATTACAATTATTTCCTGCATAGTGCAATCACTTAGAGGTCTCCTTTCATGCCAGACAAGTACTTTCCTTATCAGAAGATGAATAATGTAACACAAACATCCAATGCCTGTCAGTGACCCAGGATAGTGATACATCTGTAGAATGCCCTGGTCATGCAACCCCTTCTCTAGATCCCATTGAATGCTCCCAGTGCTGGCAGTGGTGTGGCAGTGATGATGAGTGCAGTGTGGTGTATATGAGGCTGTAGTGTGGTCTGTGTGATGTACACTCACCGCAGACTCGGTGTTACTGATGAACCCCTGCAGGAGGAGAAGCAGTCCAGCCAACAGTGCCCAGTTCATGGTCCTTCGCCGGGGATGTCCTCTGCACTCACATACACAATGCGATCACTTCAGCTTGTATCCTTCTTATTGTGCCAGAGTGCGATCTGCCACCATCTCCTCAATGTTCCCTGAAGCAAAAGCTGAACATGAAGTGAGCTTTGAAGAAAGTTTTGCAGTCTGATGGTGCTTGACACTCCACCCACTAAACACCCCCCACCCAGCACACACACACACACAGAGGATCGTCAATGAAGCTCAATCCGTCCTGATTGCCTGTGCAGTGCACAAGTCCCCAGCACCCGGACTGGGCACACATAGGTGACAGATCAGACCTGGATATATTGGCATGAGAGGTGCACGCTGCGGATGGTGAGTGACAGATCGGGGACACAGAGGGCTCAGGGATGGCTGCTCATATGTTCTATGGAATGACTATTACTGGGAGGGTTTTCCTTGTCTCTGATCTGGGGTTATACTGGTTACACATTGTATGGATCACTGCTATACTAGGCAGTGCAAGAGATCAGAAGTGCTGATATGATGCTGAGAAGCTGTCACCTTTCTATGTGCTGGGAATGATGTTGCCAGTGCAGTGACACCACTCTGCCAGGACATTTAATATGAACTGGTCCTGCTGCCTGCTGGCATCCCCCTCTATGTGATTTACATTTTTGAGCTGGATTCAGAGAAGTCAAATTACTGCTATCTGCTGAGTACCCTGGAAATATCACATTAAGCTCCCCATACACCTTAGGCTGACCATACACTGTACAACCTGATTGTACAATCTCCTTTAGATCTGCCAACAACTATGTAGTGCTAGAGCCTGTCTGATTGGATACCAACCGACTGGGTTGTTTAAATTTGTCCTCATATTACATAGTTTTGGTAAATCTAAAAGAGATCTGATTGTCTAATGTATGACCACCTTTACAGTTTGATTATGTATCTCCTTTAGGTCTACTAGCAGTATGAGGGTCTGCCTGATTGGATACAGATTTATTGTATAGATTAGGTAGGCGCTCATATTTATAGATTTGGTAAATCTAAAGTACAAAGATTGTATGGTTAGACTGGTGACCCTTACCCTCCATTTACACTTGTACGTCTGCATTTATATGTATTTTGTTGTGCATTTTTCACTTTTTATGTGTTTTGCATTTAGCCAATGATGGTGAAATAAAGCATAGATTACTAGGGGGTGGGGGCTTGTTGTCATGCCCTAAAATGTATGAAAATGTAGTAACGTGTACTGTTCATGTCCTCCCCTTGAAGTCTGTGGGGCTAAAATGCATCATGTTGACCAAAAGAAACGTTTGCACCATTATCCAAGCCGCAAGGAAGTGTGTTGCATAGGTGTGACCGGGCTAGACAGAGAATAGTGGGATTTTGGGCATTGATCGTTGTTTTTCCTGATGGCCAAAGCTCTTCAAATGGCACAGATGTGAACGGGGACCGTGGCTGAAATCGGGCTCCCTCCTCTATACATAATGCTTTGGACAGCTACCCTTTATTCTATTTCTTGTTATCCAGTTTTCACACACAGCATTAGAAATGTATAGCCAAACTATTCATTTAGCGTTGGTCTTTATTGTTGTCGGTGATATCTTCTCACTTCCTGAGTGGTCACTGGGACAGGAAGTGATGGGAATATTTACAATGAAAACATTGACAGAATAAGGGTGAGGAGAGGTGCAGCTTTTTTTATTGCTAACGTTGGCTCTGTTGGGCTGGGATTCCCTTTGCCCAGCTTGGGGTAACATTATTGTTTTTTTTATAAAGCAGGAAAGAGTTAGGCCTCATTCATGCTGGCAGTGTCAAACATGCGTTTGTATGCGTTTAGAGGACATTTCTAAATACATATAAATGCATGGCATTACTTTTTAATGGTATAATTCAAACTGAGCAGTTACCTGAGTTTAGGTATGTTCAGTATAACTGCGTTTTACACAATTCTGTGTGTCCAAGCTCTGATTAGAAACTCTAAACATAGCTACATGCATGTAAACTTGGCTAAACACACTTAAATGCATGTACATCTAAACATAGAAAAAAGTGATTTGGAAAATATACAGGTTGTTTATACTTAGAAAAGGTAAATGCAGGAGTGCCGGTGTGAATGTAGCCTTAGGTCACTTTAGGTCCAAATCTGTGGATAATCAAAGCTGCAATCACAGGTGGTAGCAGACAGCTACGGCTGCTCAGCCTGTACAAAGCAATGACAGGCTGATAGGAGCCACAGCTGTCCGCCGCTATTCACATGTATCCACATATATAGAGGTTACCTGCAACCAAGTGCAGATATCTGACCCTGGATGCAGGCAGATTGCGTCCGGGGCTTTTCATCTGTCCCTAGCCAGGCTCCTATTAGCCTGTAATTTCTTTGTACAGGCTGAGCGGCGGCAGCTGTTCCATGACTCCTGCCGCATGAATCCACTGCCAGACCTTATTAGCCCGGGTGAGTGAGGCCCTAGAGCAGGGGTGGGCAAACTCCAGCCCTCCAGCTGTGGTGACACTACAAATTCCATGACGCATCTGACTCTGGGAGTCATGCCTATGGCTGTAAGAATATTGCAATGCCTCGTGGGATTTGGAGTTGCACAATTGCTGAAGGGCCGGAGTTTGCCCACCTCTGCTCTAGAGACTCTGTCAAGTTTTTGTTGCCATCTGTATCCCTACTGTGGAGATTTCCCATCACTTCTTGTCACCAGCATTTTTTGAAGGGTTACAACCTATGACAGTGTTTTTGTTAATGGTTGTGCTCTCCTGTCCCAGTGACACCCTCCGCCCCGTTTTATATAAGGGCATCACAGGGACAGGAAATGGGAGGAAATCTATCAGACAGAAATAGAAACCCAACAATAATTTTACATTTTCCCTATTCTGTACAAGGCTAAAGAATATTGGCTGGATTTAGGCTTTAAGTGAGAGGTCTCTCCAGATGGCAAAGTACCTGACACATGTTCTAACACTCGTTCTCTTTCTGTCTAAAATTCCACTTTTAAGCAAATGTATTTCAATTTGACCCCAGCAGCAATTATTCCAGCCATGTATAAAAAATAACAATGTATTACATAAAATTAAACTTTAAATATTTTGTTTGTTTCTAGTTAATATGAAGAAATCTGAAACCAGAAAGAGATGCCCATGGTTGCATCCATTATGGAAGCAGAATTTTTTGCCATGGTAAGTACGTTTGTATTCATATGACATATATTAGCCTCAATTTATAAAGCCGAATATATATATTATATATTTTCGTTCCTGTGTGTTATTTGCAAATGTATCATTCAAATTGCTTTTAGGTAATTCATGCAAGGGTTTATCATAAATATCTGCGGAAATTAGCATATATGTTATAGTAATTATTTTTTTGCAATATCTTTTTAGAATGTAAAAGTCAGTTTAATTAAGATTATCACACAGGTTTTTGCCCTAAAGTATTGCTAGCTTCTAGCCCATAGACTATAAAGTGTCTAGTGAGAAGTGAAGAAAAGGAGCCTTTTGAAGTGGTGCTATGTGACAATTTTTGTCTAGGTTAAAAAAAAAGTTATACTCGCCTGATCCTGGCTTGTTCTTAGAACAGTCCTTCCAGCCTCCTCTTCTGCCATCTAAGATCCAGTAAATGATCCCGTTCTATACACAGTGTATAGACATGAGAAAGCTGAGGAAAATTCAAATAGGAGGAGACAGGCTGGATGGACCGCTATGACAGCTGGCCAACTCAGTGCTTCGGGTGAGTATTACTTTGTTATCTTTGACCCTAGGCAAAAACGAGCACTTAACCCTTGCAGTGCGGGGGTAGCCCCATTGCAAGGTTTAATTAAAATGTTCCCTGGAGTTCTTCTTATATCTAAATATTTTGATGTAAAAACTTTAATAAGATAAAATAACAGAGATACAATGTTTATTGTCATCTTCCTGGTACAGGAATAGCAAGTTAGTTACTGATTTTAGCAGAATATATGAAGTCTATGAGAGAATGGGTCATCATATGATTCAGTATGGAATGGCAGGACCCAACTCTTCCTACCTATAGATTAGTTCATCAAGAAGGGTTTATTTATCCCCCTATTACACCACTGGAAGCTTCATAACAATGGATTTCTCAGTTAAACAAGTTTGTTATATTGTATTAGACATTTATGTGGATGGTAGGTGAAGATTAGGATATATTGCGGTCCATAGAAATGAGTGCACTTCCTAATATACTGTATATTCCACCTACAGTCTTTCAGTTTGCTACTGTAATACTTTGATGGTGGTTCTCATTTTAAATATACACGTTTAATTAAATAATATTAGATATTTGAGATTATCTGCTATCAGCCAACCAGTCTGAGCTCGTAATCTGCAACAATCTGTTCATTCTAGTTCTCAACTTCCGATTTTGCATTAGGGTCTCAACTCCCTAACGTTTTCAAACATCCTTTACATAGATGTTCAAAGTGCATTCACTGTCCCAGTAAAATTAAAGCGAATCTGTCAGCCATTTTACTTTTTAAAGTAAGAGACCTGATTGAACACAAATTGCCTGCTATCATGGTTACCTCTACTGTGTAACCTTCTAAAACTTTGTTATTGAGGGCCTCACTTCTCTAACTTGAGGACTAAGTCCACCAATCTCCATTCTGCCCACTGAATGCCCTTTTGAATACTAAGCCACTTTCACTGAACAGTGTGATTTGGGCAAGATTTAGTCCTAATGTCAAGTAAAATGAGCCATTTTGGAGCAAAATGAAACCAGGATCAAAGGGGCACACAAAGATTTGTTTTCCATTAACAAAGGTAAGGTGCTTGCTTTCAGAAACAACCTTTTTTTTCAAAAGGTTCACTTCAAAGTAAACATGCCACCTGACTATGCAGGGCTTTGCTGTAATGTACTCTCTCTAACAGCACATACTTACCTTTCCTTCACCAACCAAACAACATAGCACTTCAAGCTATGGAGTGCATGTGATTCCCTCTAGGGCAGTCACCAAGCTACAACATAAGCAACATGCGGTTAACATTTCAAATACAAATGGCTTGCTTTGGAAGTTGAAGAAAACCAGTCACATGACATCATGTAAAATGGCTGTCCTCCTATCCAAGAGGGTTCTCTACAGCATTATGCAGAGAACACTATGAAGGACCCCATAGGCTCCACACTGCAATGCATTTTCTAAATTAAACTTAAAATGCAGGCTCAGTCTGGAGTACTTCCTGCAACGTTGAGCAGAGAGTTATATCCGCTCTCTATCATGTTCCAGTGTGGGGTTGAATCTGATTAGCTGCTATTTGCTATTTGACTTTTTAAAACCTACGCTAGAAAATGACAGCTGGAGAATGGAAATGTGGATCTTCTTAAATACTGCATAGCTCTATAGAGCGCTCCTTTTTCAGACACTTATATAATGAACCTCAATGTATTCTAAATAGAATATCACTATTAAACCATTCTTACTTTACCTGTTTTATAGTTCTGTTTAATATTTTTGAAAATAAATGTAGCACTGCTTCCCACAATGCATAGGATGACCTTTCAGTATATAGTACACCACTCCTTGCAGCTATATGTACTATGCATGTTTCTTCAGTTCAGGTCACCCATGCAATAAATGTCATCGACTCTGGAAAACCACATCCTGATGGTAGGAGGTTGAACTGTAAGAGATTTTAATTTACTTAATTGAGAGAAGTTTGAAATGTTTACATTTGCTAAATTGTGTTTTTCCTTTTTGTTTTTCACTGTGTATTCGTATTGGAGAGATTTTCCTGCCCGGACAGGAAAAGAGTTTCCTGCTGTATCCAAAATGAAATTTTGGAAATTAAAATTGGGTTTTAAGTCATACACAAGACCCTGTGTTTTAAGCAGTTGTTTTTGGTTTCATTTGATTTATATTTATTAATGATTTTTTTGCTTGAATATTGCGAAATAAAAAAACATTCTAATTTGCTTATTTCTTTATTTAGGGTTCTGCTGTTGGTTGTGCTGGTAATGGGGGTTCCAAAAAGTGCTGACGCTGTGAGTATATATTGTTTTTAATCATGAATTCAGCAGCATTACAAAATAAGAAATATGTATTTTAGGTTTTAACAACAAACACAAAATATACTTTTGTATAAAAATACACTTTTTTGCTATATATCTTGAACAGTGGTGACCGCAACTAATTGTATCCTGGGAATATTATTCAATCTGTCACATTTTGTTTGAGGTTTGACAGCAAGTATATGATCTATGACTGTGCAGTATAATTGATAATTGCACATGTGTGATTAATGACTACACTTGTAAGCTCAGCCAAAGTTTCTAAGTTGCCTATCTACTTACCTGTAATTTTTGTGTTAAGTTACCATTTATGTGGCTGTACTGTCAAGTCTGCTAGATACTTTACAATATTTATTTAAATGTCTGTTAAAACTGAGGGATCAAATGTTTCCTAGTGAGCTGTATTTCCAGGGTGTGGTAAAATCCCATGATACTATGTAATTGTGAGTACATTTGTGCTGTAACTCAGAATGTGAGGGATGGTTTACATTTTAAAGGAGTTTTTCATTGACTGTAAAACCCATAATCAGAATGTAACCATGGATGGCACCTTTTTGAACATATTTGAAAAATAGGTTGAAAATGTGTTAGCATTTGGCGTCTTCAAATAAATGTCACCAGTCCTAACAGGTAAACTAATCTGTACTGCTCCAGATGGGTCCATGCTCATGGGCAGCACATAGCCTAATACATATTCAGCTTATCACTGTATTTTATATTCCAACCAGAAGATGGATGATGGCAACAATGGAGCATGCGTTGCATCAATCTTTTTATTGCCCTTACTTAAGATCACTGGAATAGGAGGCAGAGTATGTGTTAAACTGGGTGGGCTGCACTCAGTGGGAGGGGGTGGTGAGTCTTTAAAGGTCAAACGGGGTCCATACAGAAAGCTACAGTTTTCTAAGGCATTTCACACTAATTAGCTCTTACCCATAGAGTTGCTGTATGAATAGATTCTGATTAGCTTGAAATGGAAGATAAATTTGTAGCTTTCTGTATGTACCCTGTTTTAGTGCATTACAAAGATGGCAACATATGCATTGGATGATGTGTTAAAAAGTAAAGGTTTGTGTTTTTATTCACTTGCACTCCTCCCTACCACGGTTGGCACCGTGTACAACTCCAAGGTAAAGATAGAGACAAAATCCTGATTCAATTTATTATAACGTTGTCACTATTTGTCATGAAAAGCCAACGTTCGGGGGTCCTTCAGGGTCCCTTCCTCAGGGCGACAAAGTCTGTTGCACTGCAAGGTACCAAGCTCTGGCAGAACTAGTAACACTGTGTTGAGATAATAAATATAGGGATAGAAGATCTGTTGCATTTCAAGAAGCTTTTCCATTCTGATTTGTCTTTTTCATCAGCTTAAAGGCTATTTTTTATGAAATTTTATGACATCACCATATAATACTGTGCTGTGCCTATGTGGAAGGTATCAAGCATTGCCAGAACTAAAAACACTGTATTGAGATCATAAATATAGGGAAACAAAATGTATAGTTTGCATGGGACTCCTAAAGATACTGTCTAAGAGAAGCCATGTTGGTAATGGGTGCTGTCATTCTTGAGTAGTCTTCTGTAGATTATTAACATTTTAGGAAAATTCTAGCAGTCACAAAAGTATTGGGCCAAGGCCAATTTAAAACTGCAGCTGTGTAATCTGGATTGATTTTAGAGTACTGAGAGGAAATTGTTTAACTCAAGAAAGGTTCTCTAGGCTCTTTGGGGCATTCTAGTAACTTTAGCACGTAGACTGTGTTTACAGAGATAAGTGGGAACCTAATTTGTTTCATAAAAGAGAGACAATACTGTCCTAGCAAGCGGCTATGAAGTATGTCAAAAGATTTTTAAGTGTACTGGTGATGAATTCCTGGAACACAGTTGGAGTGCTGTACAGTCCAAACTAAGAGTGACTAGTGATAATGGTTGTTAGTAGTTGTGCTGAAAACAAAAAAAGTTAAAAAAAACTTGACTAATCTACCTAAGTGACTATTAATAAAAGTTGGGAGAATAATAGAATTTAATTTTAATTGCTCAGTCACTGTGCTTGCAGTATTTTATCTAGTAGGATCACCTGCACATAGGCTCTTTTGAACCTGTAATTTGGATTAGATCTTACATAATCAGAATTAGGGATGCACGATACCGGTTTTTCGGTATCGAGTACGAGTACCAATATTTTTTTTTCCGGTACCCGCCAATACGGTTACTGGAAGTCCCATTAAGGAAGCTAGTCGGCGTGTAATGACTCGCCACCTGGCTTCCTGATTAGCAGGGAAGCTGTCTCCATTAATGGAGCCGGCATTCTGGCCAATCAGGAAGTCGGGGGGTCGGTAATGACTCGTGCCTGGCTTCCTGATTGGCCAGCTTCTTGACTAATTAGGAAGCCAGGTGGCGAGTCATTACATGGCACCCGGTTTCCTGATTGGCCATTAAGCCAGCTTTCTGGCCAATCAGGTAGCTGGGGGGCGGCTAATGACTCGCCGTCCAACTTCCTGATTGGCCGGCTTCCCGACCAATCAGGAAGCTAGGCGGCGAGTCATTACACACTGCCCGGCTTCCTGATGGGTCGGGAAGGCGGCTCCATGCTCCATCGTCACTTGGTGACGTATAATGACTCTCTGCCTGGCTTCCTGATACCGGAAGTTTGGGTAATGTGCTAGGCATCGGAGCATTTGGGCGAGTATGAGTAGCCGCCCAAATACGCGGTATCGGCACTGATACTAGTATCGTAATAGGTGCGTCCCTAATCCTTGGTATCGGCACCGATACTGATACTAGTATCAGTATAGGTGCATGTGTATCCCATAAGAATAGCTTTCAACTTCAACATATAATGGGGGGAATTTATCAAAACTGGAGCAGAAGAATCTGGAGCAGTTGCCTATGGCAACCAATAAGCTTCTCTCTTCAGTTTGCTCAGCTAAGATTTGAAAATGAAAGAGAGAAGCTGATTTGTTGCAGTGCAAATCTGCTCCAGATTTTGTCTGCTCCAGTTTTGATAAATGTTCTTCAGTTAACCAGAGTAATTTACCAGCCCTTTCATTTTATGCAGAATGTTAAAATATATTAAACACTATAATCAATTTCTTCAAATTATGGAATGTATTTATTGAAATACCAGAGTCATGAGCTCATACATGTAAACTGAATTATAAATCTTTTCAGCATTAGGTTTCTCCACTTTCCCAACATAAAGCTTGTTTATGACAGTAATAAAACATCACGGGTCAGTGAGGGGAGTCACATTAATGGAGATGGGGTACACATGTGCATCAAGGCTGCTTTAAAACATCCATATGTTACCTGCAGTACATCTGTCAAACCTTTAGGGAACAGAAATAATTGAGTCTGGGAATCTGAGGAATGATTGTTTATGTAGACAAGAAATATCAAACAGCTACAAACGTTTGCTGCACTTTTACTACGGTATGGGCTGCTATTTGACCTAGGGCCATTTCACACCTATGCATATGCAACAAAGCGTATCTAAACCCAAAAACAAAAAATCATTTATTGCAGTTTACCAGTTCTTAGATGAGGTGTCTGCAATTGTTATCTTTTTGGGTTGTTTTTTGTTTTGTTTTTTTTTACCTGGTAATCCTGTAAATAACACACTTGTCACTCAGTAACAACCTTTTATCTTACCCTGTATCTATGGAGCAAGCTATTGTTGTCACCCAGGCTGGACTTCAAACATGTCTCCCTTTGTTCATCTCCATTATACTAGGGCTAATGGAATACGTAGTTTATGAAAGAAAAGTAAGGTTGTAAGTGCTTTTCTGTTAAGGTCCTGGGCAGGGCCGGACTGGCCATCGGACATACCGGGCAATTTCCCGGTGGGCCAGGCCGAACACAAGCAGCCTAATGGTCGGCCCGTCTCGGCCCGCTATGCCAGAAGCTGCTGGCCGCAGAAGGGTGCGGGGGCGGGGAGTTGGTTCCGTCGGATGAGCTGTGGAGGGGTCCCCACAGCTGCGACCCGTCCTGTCAGCTCTCTCTCTCTGTCTCCTCTCGGCCGTTGCAGCTACAAATTGATTCGCCTGTGTCAGGTCCCGTGCAGCTGCCTTCTGGGGAACCACGCGGCGCCTTCTTACAGGGCTTCCGCCGGCTGCCCATCTTCCCCTCCTGAGACCCTTTGCCCGAGACTTCAGGCTGGTACCCCGGAGCAGAGCGGCAGCACAGAGTATTACCAAATGCATATACTATTATTCTGCATTGCTGTATAATGTATTGCAGAGATGTTTAGTCCTCTATAGCTGATGGTATTATTCTGCATTAGAGTGTAAGCTCCTCTGTACAGAGACTGATGTGACTGACTATAGCAATATGTCTGTGAAGGTTCTCATTCATCCAGGTCATGGTATATCTGTAAAAAATAAGTCAAGGCAACTGGACTTGCTGTATTTTTCTTGAAGACATTTCACTGGTCATTCAGCAGCTTTCTCAATTCAGAAATCTGAATTGAGAAAGATAGTCGGATGACCAATGAAACGTCTTCAAGAAAAATACAGCAAGTCCAGTTGCCTTGACTTTTTCTTTACAGATATACTCTATAGCAAGCATTGTATATTGTTGCAAGGTTTGTGTATTGGTTGTAGCAAGGCCTGTGTGTCAGCTGTAGCCCTCCTGTATTTACTGGTGGCCGGCCCTGCCCCTTAATTGCGTTTCTGTGGTTGGCTCTGCCCCTGTTGTGAGGGGTGTGGCCTGTCAGTGGTCACGTGATTGGGCTTCTCAGTCTAAAATGCCTGGGCCTATTTTTTGTCCCAGTCCGGCCCTGGTCCTGAGAAGTGACAAAGACACTGCATTTCTAGCTAGTTCAACAGCTATTTTCTGCACATGCTGAGAATTTACTTAGCGGGAGGGGGGGAATGAAAACTAGCGCAGCCACCTCATTAAGAACATGTAAGCTGGAATATTCAATTTTTGTTTTTAGATTTAGTTAACCTTAACATGCATTTTGCTTACTGCAT